AGATCAACATATCAAACATATTAACACTTTTATACATGCAGTCCAGAATGCTGGATTAGTTGTATCGGCAAAAAAGATAACTTTATTTAAAACCAATATTAGGTTTTTAGAACATATGATTCACCATGATACAATTATCCCCATAGATAGATCCATACAGTTTACTGATAAATTCCCTGATCAGATACTTGATAAAAAAGAACTTCAAAGGTTCTTAGGATGTTTAAATTATGTAAGTGATTTCTATCCTAATCTTGCCATAGACGCGAAACCGTTACATGACAGATTAAAAAAGAATCCTCCACCTTGGACAAATATTTATACTAAAGCAGTTCTACTAATTAAACAAAAGGTCAAAACACTTGTTTGCCTTTCTCTTCCTCATCCTACTGCTTTCAAGATAATAGAATGTGATGCCTCAGAAATAGGATTGGGTGGTATTCTCAAACAACGTATCGGGTATACTTCTAAAGCCTGGAATCCAACTCAACAAAACTATTTTATGGTCAAAAAGGAATTATTAGCCATTGTTCATTGTGTTACAAAATTCCAGAGTGATATTCTCAATCAACAATTTCTCATAAGAACTGATTGTAAAGCCGCCAAAGATATTCTGCAAAAAGATGTTCAAAATCTCGTTTCCAAACAAATATTTGCCCGCTGGCAGGCTATCCTGTCCGCTTTTGATTTCACTATTGAACACCTTCCCGGGTCTTCCAATTCTCTTCCTGATTTCCTTACCCGTGAATTTTTACAGGGGCGGCAACACTGACGCCAACGACGAAGGATTTCTTGTTTTAAATCTGAAATTGAAGGTTCTTTTTTTTGAGAAGTATGCTGTTCACTTACTCTTTTCATGATAGAAGCAAAATTGTATTCATCAGGTGTTTTATTTATTGGAGGTGTTTTTGCTTTTGTTTTGGTTAATGTAATAAATTTAGTGATTACAGATCTTTTTTCCTCTGGGTCTGTAATTTTCTCAATAATATCTAGTATTAAATTATCTTCTTGAGTAAGCATATGAAGATTATGTATAGGTATAGGACAACTACAAGTAGTATCTTTCATTTCATTTGATGATTCTGTGTCTGTTGAGGAGTCTGAGGAGTCAGATGATTCTGTCCATAAAATATATGTATATATATATATATATGGAAAATGCTGACATTAGCCCACTAGCTCATATGAACATATGTGTTCATATGAGCTCAACGGCAATCTGGGCCGATTTGACTGTCACGTTCATTTTGTATTTTAATTTTAATTTTTTTTTACAAATCCAAATAATTTGAAATTTTAGGGGTGTATTCTTAAAAAATAGGAGAATCTAATAAAAATATCAAAAAAATAATTTGTAATAAATAAATTGACCAAAATACCCCTGAAACGTTTTGGAGGTACTTTTGTCAATTTATTTTTTGCGAATTATTTTTAAAATATTTTTATTAAGTGCGGCTTGATGAAAATAACAGGCGCTTAAAATTTCAAATTATTTGGATTCATAGAAAAAAATTAAAATTTAAACACGAAATGAAGTCGTGACCGTCAGATCGACCCAGATTCAATCTAGGCCGTTGGGCTCATATGTTCTATATGTAGGCTAGTTGGGCTTAAANCTCAATATTTA